CCCTGTCTCAGCAGTCAGGCACGGCAATATTAGTTGTCGTTCTTCACGTTGAAAAGAAACGTTCCAATTTTCGGGAGAGTACTCTCGTGTGTATGTCAATGAGATACGTCTACTTTACACTAGCAATTAGTTATATCCATTTATTAAATAATTATCATAATAATCTATACCTTTCTATTCCCCTCACCCCGAATGGGGTCCTCCATCATCTCCGCCTTTCTACAAGGCGTCCGCGAAACATGAATGGCTAAGAACCACTGCTATTATGTATGCCATTTCTGTTCAAACAAAGTTTCGAAGTTAAATGTTCATCGCTTTTTTTTCTCGTTTGCTTAGAGGAAGGGAAGCCGGCGTCAATGTACGATTCTCAGTGCGTGCCTCTGCACATAACATATATCTGATGGTATGTTGGGGGTCCAAGCAAGGTAAGGCTCATCAACAAAGCCGCGAAGGCATAACGACGTTAGAAGCATGCCGAACTAGTGCCACTCGGTCGTAGCGCGAACGGGCGAAATGAGAATGAGCCCAGTTGCGAAAAACACGATTCGGATCTTATGAGAAGGTTCAAACGAGAAGGACCAAATGAGAATGGGCCGAAATGCGCAAGGTTCAAATGCGAATGGGACGTTTTGAGATACACCCGTAAAAGAAGTACTTAAAAGTTGAAACAGGCCACGACGAACGAGAACGCTGGGTCCACAAACACCCGAAAAAAGCGACAACGGCGACGAATCCACCGACTCCAACGAAGCGAGCTGCTCAGAATATAGGCCTAGCAGGCACTCCGACTCGGCGCAGCGTTGCTTCGTCGCAAGACCGTTTGCCTACGACCGGCTGGCGTGCTGAATGGAATATGCCCGCGCTACCCTTGTGGACCCTTCCCGTATTATACAGGGTGAAACAAGGAGGCGGCAGGCTCTTCAAATCGACCGGAAAATTCGGTTTCTTAATTTATCGCGCTACGACTTTGTGCAGCGTTGCCCACAGATGGTGCATTTTTTTTTTTTTTTGTAAAATTTGCGAAAAGTGAACTTACCTGAGGAAAAAGTAAAGAAAGAAAAAGGCTTAGCTCCTATGGAAACGCAGCGACGCCACAGGTCTGCAAACAACACGGCGCCGTTTCGCACGGGTGACAGGAGATGGCACAAGCGGTCGCGACGCCAACTGCCGCCAACGAACGAGCAGACGGCGCCGAAAGCCGGCGTGTTTAGCAGACAAGGAACTGCAGTTCCTTGTTGTTACCGCGCCTGTTTTTGTTTCTGCGACTGTCGCCGCCTGCGGAATGCGAGCCGCTTTTGAGTCGAAAAGATCGTCTGCTAAAGTGCCGGCTCTCGGCGCCGTATGCTCGTTCGTTTTCGTTGGCGGCGTTCGTTGCGCCATCTCTTGTCTCCCGTGCGAAACGGCGCCGTGTTGTTTGAAGCGTTTGAAGACCGGTGGCGTCGCTGCGTTTCCATAGGGTCCATAGGAGCTAAGCCTTTTTCTTTCTTTACTTTTTCCTCAGGTAAGTTCGTTCTTTGTAAATTTTACAAAAAAAAAAAAAGTGCACCATTTGTGGGCAACGCTGCACTAAGTCGTAGCGCGATAGGTTAAGAAACCGAATATTCCGGTCGATTTAAAGAGCCTGCCGTCTCCTTGTTTCACCCTGTAGTTTGATCGCTGACCTCAATTTTAGATTAAGAGGTGAGGTCAATCTCTTCCCCTTGTTTTCCGAGGCATGCAGTGTTGACGAACACTCGTCGAAAAGGGACTCGTCGATTCTATCTTCTTGTTTTGTGTGATAGAGCTGAAATAAACGCCGTATGGATTACCGTCGTAACACGGTATGTAGACTTTGTTATTGGTATGCCATTTTTATTCTGACAGACTGCACGTCATTGTCGAGCTATAACAGTTCGTGGGAGGTATACGTGCAATGCCGGTCCAACCTTTCTTTGCCGAGTGTCGCGTCAGCATCGAGTTGCAATCGTAAAAGATAGGTCCCGAAGCGCTTACCAACAGCGCGAATACAGCACTTCCATCAAACGCGCGCGTCCGCTCCGAGTGTGAACAGTGCGCTTTTTGGACTCCCAGGAGACTAGGGAGAAGGAAGTGACGTCAACGACACAGCAAACGCAGATTGGATGTTGACAGAAGAAAACGAAATCAACACCCAATCTGCGTTTGCTGTGTCGTTGACGTCATTTCCTTCTACCTATTCGCGACTCCAGCGACCTATAGGGGGCGCCACCACAAAACAAACATGGCGGCTGGGTCCAGGTCGCGTCGGCTCGGCCGGGCCACCTGAACAGGTGGCGCGTTCAATTTAACATATTTTCTTTTGTTTAATGCCCAATTTTATGGGTATTCGAACTGAGGCGGCTAAGTGTAGCCGGTGCGCATAAATTTGCCGAGCACAGTTTTGTTTTGCCGGTGTTTTTTGTTCTTTTCATGTTAAACTTTCGTTTCGGAGACTTCGTTCAAAACCGAAACTATGGGCTCCGGAGAAACGGTAATAGACTCTAATTAGTTTTGATCATCTAAGGAAAGCGGCGAGGGCTACAAAATTGTTCCACCGAGAGTAATTTTTAGCTAACTCGCATGCCTCGACCATGCGACTTATCTGTCCGCGAAATTGAGCTTTTGTGCGTGTCCGCGTTTCAAGAAACAGCTCCAGTCGTCTGCTCGGTCAAGAACACAGGCTGCAGGAAAATTACGAAAATTAAGCAAGCGCTTCTTCAGCCAAGGAGATTTTAACCCGCTGGCGCTTCACTAAGCAGCTGATACTCGTCTTTCAATTAAGGTTTTAGTAGCAATCAGGAAGTAATTTTGACGAATATGCGGATTATGTATTATATTACGTACTATGGTCCCACTAAAACGATATTAGTATATTCTTTCGGTTGAAATATGAACTTAGTTGACTAACTATTAGGTGAACTGCTGAATAAAAGTATAATTGACAGACATAGAGATACTACTTAAACTTAGCCAAATGGTTCTAGCCGGTAGAACGGAGACGAATGCGGAAAAACTGAGGAGAGTCTTTGGAGATTCACTCAGAACTCTCTGTATTGAACTTGACTTCGAATCCTAAACGGATAAAATATTTTTTTTTTTTTTTGTGGCCGGTCAACTTGAGCAATGTAGGCGTATATTGCTGCTGGCTTCGACAGGGGTTATAATACAAATATTGAAGGCGCGATAGATCCTAATGACGTGACAGCTTCTAACTTTGCGAGACGCGTCCCGCACCTTATGAAAGCAGATAATTTCCCTCATTAATCATATGCAGCGATCAGGTTTTCTGAATGAAGTAATTTCGAAATTAGCCCAGCTCCTTCAGTGTGGTCTTTTTTGCCGAAAAGCAGCCAAGATGAATAGCCAACGGACCGGCCGGCGTTAGTGGCTCAAATTAACTTGAAGCTAATCGAGCACAACCAAACTCAATGAAAGCAGCTATCGAACCTTCCCATTCACTTGACTGCGACATTGGTGTTCCCTCCAGTGAAACACTTCGTCTGTCGACCTCAGTCCACTGTTCTACATCCTTATAAAGAAACCACTTATCAGTTACCAAGCAGTCGTCACTTTGAATGAGATTAGAGACAGACAAGAAATCAACGTTTTTCCGTGATTCCTCCCCATCGAAAAACTTGAAAGCACGCGCCCGTGTGTTGTGAAGTAAACGGGCTTTCAAACATGTGATGGAAAAAAAACAATCTACTGAGGCTTCACCACACTAATGAACACTCAGGCAAACTTAAGAAATTTTCGGACCTTCTCCAAATTACATTGCTCGCTCCCGCGCCGACAGCACGTGTCCGTGAAAGCCACCAGAGACGCGGCGGGGCGCGGAGCGACCTGGACCGACTGGTTCCCGGTTTTCCCGCTTGGCGGCGTCCGTTTTGCTGGAGTCGCGAATAGTCTCCTGGGAGTCCAAAAAGCGCAACATAGCACCCCAGGTATTTACGTGGCTCTTGCTGACACTCGTAGTTCAAACGTATCCCCTTTAACGTCGGCTCGCTCCTGCCTCTCCGAGGCCGCAAAAAACGTCGCGGCAATTTGTTTCCATCTACGTCGCTTTGCAAACGACTGACACAAGCCGCCTTTTACCAACAATGACGGGTTGACTTCTGGAGTCTTCACCGGAAGACTCGCCGCACTTCCCAACAGGCATACCGGCGCGTATGGGACTAGTTCCATGCTGTCGCTGTAGCGCAACATATCTTATAGCATCTTCGATCAACTCGCACCGGAATCGCCCTGAAACCAGCACAGTGCACAGCGCTCCTCGGTCGTGCAGCGCGATGCCGGTGCAACATCGAGGACAAACTGCGCCGCGCCGGTGCACCGCGGCGAGCTCCACCTTGCGTCACTTCGCGTTTTGTTCGTTTATTTTGCGTAGGTCAGCGCACGGTGCCCGTCTGCTGTCAATTTCTTCTATTTTTTTACTCGCGGATTTGACGGTCCCACAGAAATAAACATCGTGGACGTGATTGTCGATGGGGTCACGAAGCGGGTGACAATTCCACATGTATATGTTGGCCATCATTATTAGTTCAAGAAAACGAAACACCAGATAATAGCCGTACCTCGCTGTCATCGAAACGCCTCGCGCCGCTTTCCACGAAGTTCGTGCTTTTCGGGCGCTCCTTGCCACCGCAGCAATCGCCAGTAATCGCGGCGATGGTGAGAAGCTCGTCGTCTCGTCGTCAGAAGACCCGAGGAAATCATCTAGTGCAGCTGCGAGGCGTGTTCGTTTTTGCAAGATCGCCATCTCGATAGTCTGCGCGTCTGCTACTCCCGCCATCTTCTCGATTCCCGCTCCTGGCCGCAATGCCTGATGGGACTGCCCCCCGGCGCACCGCCGATTTTCTTAGTGCGCGTTGGGGCACGGTATACCTTTTTCAAGAAGAAACTTTCCAACTGACATTTTAATGGGTATGTAAGTGGGCTAAAGCTCTCGTGATCTACAGAAACCCTTATAGCTGCTTTTGTTTCTTGTTTTGTCTTCTAGGGGTTGCTGGAAAAGCTTTAGTGACCTTTTGAAAGGTGCTCAAGAATTTGAGGTACGTTTCACAATCTTAGATGATTTCACTCGCTTGTCAGCACATAATAAAGTCGGTTCCTTTAATGTTTTGGATATACCTCTATGTCTCGCTAATGTGGACAACCCACTATATATATAGCGGGAGGCACTCACTTGATCGAATGACGTTTTAGCGAACGCCCACGTTTCATCGAACGACACTTTCGCGAATAGTCGGACGCCGCGAAGCGGCGTTTTCGGGTGGGCCAAGTGAGTTCATATTTTTGTAATGAGTTGCCGCAGACTGTCGCCGCGAAGCGGCGTAAAGCGCAGCGCGACGGATGGGTTAACGCGCGTCCCCGTTATTCGCTAAAACGACCATTCGCTCAAATGTCGCCGTTCGCTAAAATGTCATTCGCTCTTGTGATATGGACCCATATATAGCAGACAACATTTTCATAAACCAATTCATCGCCATACAATTCATTTTGCCTTGTTAATATGGAGGTCAGCAGTCCGGACTATGGACAGTAAGTTTAAGAATCAACTGTGTAAATACTGCATGCATTTTGTCTCGTTATTACTGTTTGAATGCTTTCGAATAACTCGGTTTTTAATGTTTGCTAAACAAATGTGATGAATGCTTCTTTTTTCTGTTACGACTTTTTTTTCGGATAGTCGAGTATATTATGCTTGTATATTTTTGTGTATGATGCATAACGTTTTTCGTGCGATATTACGCTCAAAACGATGCAGGCTAAACAAGACAAAAAAAAAAAAAAACTAAAAATAGCGCTTCCTCTAACAGATGTAGTTCTCAAGCCTATTCCTGAAATGCTCTAGGATGTCGTTGCATATCTCAGCCTAGACATTTATTCAGGCCCATCAGATGTTTATTCAGTGTTATATTGTCACGGGTGGTGACAAAAAAAAATAAATAAATAAACAGGAAGAAATAAACGTTTAATGTGGCGAACTTGTGCCAAAAATAAAAGGGTACAAAAGAAAACAGCAGAGCGTCGCGGGCGTCGATGTCGGCGAAACCGCAGGATCGAGCGCAGGGGCGAAACTGACTCCGCTTGCCTTGCGGAATCCCTATGTAACCCGTGGGTTTCTGGATCGTTCGGCGTAGAAGGTTCGGCGCGCAGAACACTCCAACCTCGAATCAGCCAAGACGGTTCTCGAATTCACCAGAACGCCAGCTGCGCGCGCGGCAATATGTTTGATACATTAACTATTACTACTGCTTTTTTTTTTTGTCCTCACGTGGTAAAAAGAAAAGAAATTGGGAAATTTTTATTTAGGCATTTACTTTGCTTACAAGAGCACACCTGAGAGCGTCAGAAAAAAACAGTTTGAATGCACAGCTTCTTCATCCTTATACCATAACGGACCAACCGAGAGAGAGCAATGATGGTATCTTTACCAGGGCGTGGAAACGCTGAGGGATGACCCTGCGTTTGTCTTCTTCACGAGCGGCACCACGGGACCTCCCAAGATGGTGGAGCACAGCCAGGGATATTGCTTGGCTCACCTCGCCACAGCCACGTAAGAATACGTAGAATGTTTGTTGCACTGGTGGAGTTGTATTCCAGTAGGAACTTTCCAACTGGGATTAAACGTTTCCTAGTTAACTTGTTTATCACCCACATTACCAGTTGCAACTGGTCGCAGTCGCAGAGAGTTCCAGTTGGTATCTGGGAATGTGAGTCGAGTCCAAGTGTCTTTTGTTTTCAAATAAATAAGATATTCATTCAGGCAGAGATTCTAAATATGGCCAATAAACCAGCTGACCTGGGACCAGTTGCAGTTGGGTTCGGTTGTAACAAGGACCAGTTCCAGCTGGTTCCAGCTGTGGCCGGAAGAATATCCAACTCAAGAATGAAGGTCTATCAGCCTTTATTACCCAAAAAAGGTATGAAAGAAAGTGTGGTGTAGTTCGGTGATAAACGCTTCAGCCGTCTCATTCGTCTTCTGCGAATTAAGAATCGCCCTTTCGGAAGTTTTACGACAAATCTGTAGTGTCCTGCATTTAAAAGAAAAGAGGGCACAAAAGGAGAGTCTGGCTATGCTAACACGCACGGCCCCGGAAGGCCCACAGTGGACGTCGGCATTCCTTGCGTTCCTCATGAAAACGACGATTTGATCAATAATTGGAAATACAGCTACAAATCCCTTTTTCTATTCTCAGCCTTTTGATTTTTGCAGCTACTTCCAGTCGCTGCGTAGGAGTGACGTGTTCTGGTGCATTTCGGACACCGGGTGGGCCAAGGTGGCCTGGGGCACTTTCCCCGCCTGGCTCACGGGGGCCTGCTTGTTCCAGGCACGCATGCCCAGGTTCTCCCCCGAGACCACCCTCTCGGCAAGTCGCTTTTGCACGTGGCGTTCCTATCGTCGAACGTCGTCCGTCGAACATTAAAGCTGGTGCACTTACATGCTACCGCTGACGACCGTGTGCCTTACCACCGAATTCAGAAACCTCGCTCAAACCACACTCAAACTGAAGGGCCCCTCCACTTCCACGAGGAAGGCGCGAGGGCCGGCGCTGGCCAATCGCGAGGAAGGATCCGCCATCGCGATTGGCCAGCGCCGGCCCTCGCGCCTTCCTCGAGGAAGTGGAGGGGCCCTTCAGTTTGAGTGTAGTTTGAGTGAGGTTTCTGAATTCGGCGGTTAATGACTCTTAAACTCTCTTACAACGAGAGTTGATTAACTATATAGATTTAAAAGGTTAAAAAGCGCAGCACAACAAGGACAATAAAGACACGAAGACGACAGGACGGGCGCTAACTCACAACTGATTTATTAGAAACAACACTGTCACTTTTATACACAAGATCGTATGCCAAACCCACACTGCAGCCAATCACCACTTTTACAAGCAACTATCTAGAAACATTACTTCTTTCTGAAGCAAAAAGAGAGCGCCCGTCCTGTCGTCTTCGTGTCTTTATTGTCCTTGTTGTGTTGCGCTTTTTAACCTTTTAAATCAGTATGAACCAACTCGCCCAAACACAAGTTTTAATTTAACTATATAGGCTCTGCTTGCAGAGCCAGAGCATCGCGTTCCTTTCCCTTGCACCGCCAGCTTCGTAATGGTGGAGAAGCTGTCACGTGCGCCAAGGTGGATTAAAGCTCGTGAGGGAAAGCGACCTTGTAGGCGCCGAGTTTCGAGCGAATCACGTTTCTCGCTTTGCGTTTGCGAGATATACGTCCTACACGAAAATCGAACGAGCTGGAAGGCTGACCACTGAACATTATGAGCCAATGAGTACAGTATAATCGCGTTGTTCTATAATGCGAGCGATCTGTTAAAACGTGTTTTCAAAGTCCAAAAGGGAGATATTGGACGATTACAATGGCAAAGGGGTAAAAAAAAGAAAACACAATTCCTGCAAACCAACTGTCAAAAGTATGAAACTTGAGAATAATGAACCCTACTCATTTGACACACATGGTTTCGTCTATTTACCTTCGTGAGGCAAGCATCAAGAAAAAAGAAACTTTTGTTGCTCGGTTTCACCGATGGTCGAGGGCTTCGGAGACCCAAAGAATGCGTTTGAAAACGTTCACCGCGGGAAAAAATTAATTTTAAAAAATCCTAAATTTGTTTGAAGAACAGCTACCCAAAAAGAAAACAAATGCTACATTCGAACTGGTGATATCCCACACTGCCTGGTGATAGGGGGAGAAAATTGGCTTAGAAGGGCGGAAGAAATCACACGGTTATCTTTAGACTTAGGTTAGTTGGCGTAAGTTACCGCCCGTTACATCCAATCATCCATCCTTGGGGCCAACCCTAAAGCGTTCACGAACCCCCATTTGAGAACCAAGGCCGACGTAGAACCATCGATTTTCTGCATGGAAGACAATCCTCTTAGCGCTTCCCCTCTCCTTAGCTGCGAGGGGAGCGAAGTTGGGGCAAGGTAAAAAGTGGGGAAGATACAGGAAAGGAGGAGGCGGGCAAAAGTGGAAAGCGCGAAGTGTCATCGGCCTTTAAAAGTCTACATTTTCTGAAAACTGATCTTAACACATGGGCCGCCAGGCTTGGCTGATTGACGCGCAATCAAATACCTTTGTAAATAGCTGATCGTGTCCAGCTTTTACACTTTTTGTTATAAGACTGAGCGTTCCGCATTTACTTTTTATGTCTGGGCAGTCTTTTACGATGAATGTATCCCTAAAAGTTCTCCTTGCTTGCTTGAAACATTTTATGACAAATGTAAAATATATCGGTATGTGCTTTAGCTGATAACTTTCACTACTACTTCAATTATTTTTGTTTACTTTCTTACTTAGATTCAAATTATGATTCCTAGCTGTTGGCCAATTTTACGTTTGACAGCAGTATGACTGAGTTTTTATGTTAATTTTGGATTTCATAGTTTATTTTGAGGTCATAAATAATTGTTTAATTCCTTTTTGGTTCATAGAGTTCACCCATCTGTAGTTTTTGCTAGCTTTTTTACCTAGAAGAAAATTTGCAATGTCATTACATATACATAGCAATTCCATAAGCATAGTCCTGATACTCAAGTAGCTCAACCATTTAAGCTCTGCTTCGTGATGACTTCCTTTTTTTGGAATGTGGGTGTGAACACTTCCTTCTTCAACAGATACTATGTGACTATCCAATCACCAAGCTGTGTGCGCCACCCACCGTGTACCGTGCTCTGTTGCAACTGGACCCATCACTCTTCAAGTTTAGGTCTCTAAATGACTGCGTTGCAGCCGGAGAGGCCATGGTGAGAAGCTGAAGAGCACGGTCGCAGTCTATTTTTATTTAGCGCGAAAAGTGCCTGTACATTTCAAACATTTCGTGTCAACTAATCTTGCATAGCTCTGGCATTCCAATGTTGCTCGTTGCACGTCATAATTTGAATCCTTTGAAAATGTTGCAACTGCACTATCATTGCAGTAGAAGTTGGCAGCTACTTTGTCACGACATGCCACGCTATAGGAATACATGGCAGCGTTGCATGGGTGCATTGTCTTATGTTGCATAGCTCCAACATTCCAATGTTGTTAGTTGTATGCCAGAATCTGCAACTTGTCACATAATCTTGCGATTGCTTTGTTCCAGTGTTGCCTGTGGCAGCTATTTCGTTGCAACGTGTCACACTTCACTGGTACATGGCAGTGTCGCATGGGTGCAGTATATCGTGCGTTTCATTGCTTCAACGTTGAGGTGTCGTTAAAGGAAAGGTAAACCGAAATGTGGATTAAAAAAAAAAAAAAAAACAATGCTGGAGATGTAGGCGGGACGCTACAATCCTTACAACACTACTAGTAAGGCGATATCTCCAATGGATGGCCGTATTTTTGGAAAAAGAAGTCGAGATTGAACCAGGCCGACGAGGCGCGTGACCGTCAAGATACCTAGTTTCCTCCTCTCTTCGCTTCGCTCCCTCAAGACGGCGAGGCGGAGAAGACGCGAGGCCGTTCCCTCTCGTTGTCGGAGAAACATGACGTCAACATTTCTGCCAAACGCGCCTCTTTTTTTTAAAAAAATACTTTCATCCGTTCGAGATATCGCTGTATGAGTGATGTTTTGGTGTTTGTAGCATCCCGTTGCACGCTTTTGCCGCGTGTTTTGGGAAATCCAGATTTTGGTTCAGCATCCCTTTAACAGCATGTCACATTTTGCAGTGTTTCGCGCAGCATTGCAGAAGCACATGGACCACCTTGTATGAAACGTGCAATGTTAGAAGTTATGTGCTACTGTTTCGTAAAATCACACAAGTGTGTGTGGTAATTGGCACGGCTGTTCTGTCATGCAACACAGGTGTACGCATACGTTTTTTAGGAAGTCGTACGTCGCATGGTCTTTCCCTCTTTGCAGCATCCTGAAGTGGCGCTTCAGTGGTTTGACAGAACAGGACTTCAAATCAGGGAAGGCTATGGTCAGACCGAATCAGTACGTCACTTCTGCTTGAATCGCATTAGCATTTATTTTGTTTACTATAAGGAGTTGCGGATTTTTGACTTCCAGACTACATTTGCAGTCCTTCGAGTGTCAGTGTTCCGCTTTCCCAGTCTCCCGAAATAGACGCCATTTACCAGGTAGCCCTGCAACTGCACATAAAAGGTTGCGAAAACGAGAGCTTTAGGAGTATTTGGGATATAAACCCTACGGTCATTATCTATGAGAAATAGACGTTTATAGCATTGCCAGAATTATTTCGATACAACGGTAATAAAATGATGGGTAAAAATTATAAAAATATATAAGCAGATTCAGAGTTTCTAAGGCTACTGCTGATGGATGGCGCCAGTGTGGCGGGGTGTCCTCTCGTCGTAAACGGCTACAAGGAATCGCAATACACTCGAACACAAACACATGAATCAGCTCTAATTAGGTCCTTGAGTTCACTGACATATATTAGGACGGTCTTTAACTGCCGAGTCATTCTCCTTGCTGACCTTTGATTGCACCGTCGTTGCCCCACAGGTGGCTCTTTGTGCCAGCCCCGTTGACAAAGTAGTCAAGCCAGGCTCGATGGGTCTTCCAGTACCGAATGTCACGATACAAGTGAGCATTAGGACCTCTTTGTCTACAAGTCGTTCAGGTTTCATGATCGAAAAAAACACTGGCATACAATGGCGTAACCAAGGAGGGGGCTTATGGGGCCTCAGCCCCCACCCCCCACCCCCGAAATCCATCCGACCCTAGAATGTACAGTCGGCAGCAAAAATTTGCGGGACACGGAAGTGTCAGCCGAAAAGACAGGCTGCGCCTCTTCACGGCGCGTTGCCGCTCTCAAGACTCACGTTTTGCGCATGCGCTTCCTTTCTTGTTCAGGGTTGTTTTTTTTGTTTGTTTTTTTTCGCTCGCTTCTGCTCGACGTCAGTGAAATAACAAGGACTGGCGCAAAATGCCGCGAAATCTTATCTGTAACATGCGCGAGCTCTGCCACCCATCCGGCGGCTGAGGCAGACGCGCTACATAATGCTGACAAAGCGGCACCTTGCGCCAGTTTAAGTTATCTTGTTCACTTAGGGCGGACGCCAGTAAAAAAGACACGACTGCGAGCACGAAAGGAAGCGCATTCTCGAAGCGTTAACATTGAGGGCGGCCGCTCGCCGTCAGAAGGTGCAACGAATAATTTCGGCTGACGCTGCCGCGCCTCAATAACGTTTGCTGCCGATTGTACGCATGCATTTTGGTGACCCCGCCCCCACCACCTCACCCGATGTCATCAACATTTCCTGGTTACCCCAATGCTTGCACACAGGTTTTTTTTTTTTTTTTTTTTTTAAGCTTAACAGATTTGTTTAAAAATAGCCGTGAATGCGACACTTATGCAGTTTGTGCGGGTAAGTTATACGGTCAGTGCAACATAGTATAGGGGGCTAATTGTAACAATCAGTAGGCTAATTAGGTAAACTTTGTTGATTAGCTTTTTAATTAGTGAAAATGAACATTTGGTTCCAATCGGAAACTTGCTGAACGTCTCCCAAAACCACTGAATGAGGTTTTTGTCGGAAAGATATAAGGCAGGTGCAGCATTTCACGCCGTTCCTTAAAAATGCTAAATTTGGACCCTTTTCTAGGCTTCGGTTTATTATTGGAGCGCATCTTTGCGCCCGCGGTCCTGCTCCCCAGTGGCCGAGACGCATAACACACGAGCGCCTAACTTACCTCCATCCTACGTGGGGGGTGGGGGGTTTCGCGCCGTGACCACCAGGGAGCAGGACCGCGGACGCAAAGATGCCCTCCGTTAAGAAACCAAAACCTAGAAACTCGTCCAAACTGCGCGTTTCTTCAGAACGCCATGAAATGCTGTTACAGCTTTATATCTTTCTACAAAGAGTGAATTCGGTTTTCGATGACGCTCAGCAAGTTTCTAACTGGAACCGTACGTCTATTTTTACTAATTACATAGTTAAGTAGCAAATTTTACCTGATTATCCCACTGATCGTTACGATTAACCCCCTGTATTATTTCCCCCTGGCCGTATAATTCACCTGCACAAACCGCATGAATGTAGCTGTCATGGCTTTTTTAAAGAAAATTTGTTGAGATTAAGAGAAACACCCTGTATATACCGCAAGTAGAAGGGTTGGAGATGATACGGGAGTATGATGTTTGAGCAGTAACTGATGCATCCCTTTCTCAAGTAGCTGAACCGAAGTTGAGCACAGCAAGTCTACGTAGATGTTGTTTTCTTAGCACGGCTTTGGGAATCTAGTTGTACGCAGAGCCAGCAGGTGGCGGCGGTTCTCGGAAAGAATATTTACGGCGTTTTTTTTCGACATTCTCCAGATTCACGATGACGAAGGACGAGAGCTTGGCCCTAGCCAAATTGGTCACATGGCTGTGGCTATGACTCCGAGGAAGCCTTTAGGGCTGTTCACCTGCTACAGGGTAAGGTTTGCTGCTCTCATATTGCACGATGGGTCTGTTGTTACCGTGAGGTGGCGCTGAAAAGAGATGAAAAGTTCTCCATCAAAATGAAGTCGTGTTAATGCTCACTTGTGTCATTGTCTCCTGCCAGCTTGCTTGTATCGCATCGGCTCCAAGATCTTTGTTATCTTGTGCTTCTGACACTTTAGTTGCAACTGACTAAAAACATATATAAGTATTAGGTATGCTGCAAAGCTTGTCACATGTGTTGAAATATTGTTGTCGTTTTTTTCAAACACCAACTGCTTTTTTTATTGTTTTGCAGTAGCAGCGAGTGACTCATCGGCTACGGGTCATTAATTTCCTTTGTGTCACTCATATTGCCGCGCGCAGCTGTCCAAGTAGACAGCGCGCGCGTGGCCTAACGGTTATCGCGCCTTCCTCTCACGGGGAAAACTAGGGTTCGATTCCTGGGAGCGACGTGTCTTTTGTTTATTCCTGCAATTTAGTATTCTGGAAAATTTGAGAATGATGTTGCGCTTGTTCTAGGTCCGAATGTTCTAACCAAAATGTCACGAATGACAAGTGAGACAAAGAAAAGAACTGAAAAGTTTAATGGGGCAAACTTGTGCCCAAAAATGAAAGAAAAGACAAAGAAAACAACAGAGCGTCGCGGGCGTCGAAGCAGCAGGATCTAACGCTGAGGCGAAACTGACTTTGGCTCACCACGCGAAACCCCTTATGCAGACTTGTACGTAATCCGTTACAAGTAACGCAATTACTTGTAATCCCTTACATTTATCAGTAATTTAGTAAGGGAATAATTACATATTTTCTAGAGTAATTTTAAAGTAATTCCCTTACATTTTTTACGTAACGGATTCCTTGTAATCCGTTACTTTTTTTTTGGACCAACCTTCCCCCCCCCCCCCCCCTTTTCTAAAGGAAGGGTTGTTTTTATTTTGGTAAAGTCGAGCGCAGTGACACTGTCACGCGCATAGCGAGGCTTGGCACCCTTCAGTTCCGCAAAGCCTTTTTTGTTTGCAACACCAAGCCCCTTAATCTATTTTTTAAGACCCTAACAACCATGTCAAAAAACCCAAAGAAACATTTCTACAAAAAAGAAATAAAGAGGGGCGGGGGGCGGCAAGTCATATCCGCTTTTTTAGTCCTTTTTTTGTGATCGAAAATGGGGAGAGGAGGACGCGAAGGGATTGTGTAGCTCTTCGAGAAGCTCCAGACGGTAAGTACACAGACAAGAATTAAAAATGTCCCTCTCGTTTACAATGACTACGACCATTTTCATTATGTCACCACACCAGACAACGCTCCGTATACCCTAAAATCCACTAAAAGAGATGTTATAATATGTGACATCCTCGTTCGTTGCTGCACACTTATAATCTCGAAAACAGGATGCATTTTTTTGTTTCTTTCACCTTATTTTACCCTGCTTTAAATGCGACTTACTTTTTTGTAATCCAACTTCTAGAGTTGGCCCACTTTATTTGTGAATTCCAGCCAAGTTATCTGCGTCTCAGTCACCCTTTTTGTGAGTCAGCTTTCTGCGAATACTTTTAAAATGGTAATAGTCTTCCTTTCTTCCTGTTTTTCCCCCGCCAGGACGTATCTTATCTGAAGCAGATATTTTTACAAATAAACATAGTAATAGTGGCTGACGTAGACGATATTCTGGGCTTCGGGAGAGACTGTAGCTCGTCAGCGGGGCCATAGCGCGGCTTACTTAGTTCTCTACCCTTTGCTGCCCGTGGCATCAGCGGACGTCTATCTGGAGAACACCGGAGTAAACTGCAGTCGATTCGTGCTCCGTGCGTTTTTGAACGGCACCAAGAAAGGTACACACCGCAAACGTGCGTTTACATTTCATTTTTTTAACCGACGTTCTAATTAATTGTTGTTATGAGTGTCCTTTTTTTTCTCGATTACTTATATTTATTTACTGGAAACTTTTTTTTTATTCACCAACGCCTCAACCGAGGCTCGACCTGTTCAGAACCAAAGGAAGAAGAATATTGAGCCAAACCCTATTTCCTACTTAATTATCACTTTACTGTTACAACTATGTTTTGCTACTGTATGGCAATATATGCCGGTATAGCAAGAGGGACATGAATCAATTCTTATTCTAGTTTTGGCTAGATGTGTGATGACTTCAACAGCTTTGCGATTTCGAAAATGTAAAATTTTAGTCGATCGGTCCGATGACTCCATTAACGATACCCGATACTCCGCCGCCGCCTGTGCGCAAATGGAACAGGTTGCAACAATAAGAACCTGAATAACCCTCTTCCCTTTGTTTCTTGATTGAAGACAATATTGTTGAAAGTAACGCCACGAAAGTAACGGATTACTTTTTGGGGTAACAGTCAGTTACTTTTATGGGAGGGCAATTGTAATTGTAATAAATTACAATTTAGCCTTGAGTAATTGTAAATGTAATTCCTTACTATTTTTCAGTAACGTGTACAAGTCTGCCCTTATGTACGCGCGTGGGCTTCTGGAATAATCGGCGCAGAAGGTTCGACGCGTAGAACATTCGGACCTGGAACACTAAATTGCAGGAATAAACGAAGGACACGTCGCTCCCAGGAATCGAACCCCGGTTTTCCGCGTGGGAGGAAGGCGCGATAACCGTTAGGCCACGCGCGCGCTGTCTACATGGCCAGCTGCGCGCGGCAATATGTAAACAGTTATCTTTTTTTTAATTCATGGACTGGGATCGCACCAAGTCACATCAAACCGGGCCATGTCAAACCGCACCATGCCAGGACACAACAGCACACCAGAACCCGCTTCTGAATTAACGTTCTGAAGTAAACGTCAATGAACACCAAAACCCAGTCACTTTAGGACACAAGAGAACGCCAGAACCCGCGTATGAATGTACGCTCTGGTGTAGACGACGGAAAACACCAGAACTCTATTGAAAAATCTCATTTGTTTGAGAACTTTTCGTGTTCAAGAAACATATATGACTCATACAATATATATAAGAACCATATAAGAAACTTGTGAGAAGTTTCTTATAAGTTTCTTATATGGTTTTTACATGTTCTTATAACCCTTATATAGTTCTTTCATGGTTCTTAGACGTTCTAATATACCTTGTGTGATTCATATGTGTTTATCGGACACAAGAAATTTCTCATACGAATGGCTTTTTCACTAGGAACTCGGTCACGCCAGGACAAACATCACAACAGTGCCCGCGTCTGAACTTCCGCGATTCCGAAAAGCATCTATAGCGCAGATAGAAAAAGTATAACTTTTTTCCAGCATGTAGTTGAATATGTAAAGCCTACAATGACAAGAGCAGATTGAAAGAGCCAAATAAATAATAATTGCGTTGCGTGAATGTGTAGACGACCGGAAGTTAGTCAGCCCCATTGGGCGTCTGGTGTCTCAGCTGTAAACGAGAAATTTAGCCAGCGCAGTACAACCGCTAGCCAGGGGTCTTTAACGTGCACCACGCAGTATTGATGCACCACCGCACGCCGGTACGACGCTCATCCAGATGGAAATGGGCAGGGGTGGGGATCGAACCTAGGATCCCTGGATTCTGCAGCCCGAGCTTTCAATCCACGCGGTACAAGCCTTGGTGCGTTAACACCGTTGGCCATCTAACTCCTCCAGGACCAATTCTTAAGAATTACGAATTAAAAGCTTCTTTTCATTAAAAGGGCGGTGCAACAATTTGCGGACATTGGCTAATTAATTGTTGGAATTGATCCCGGCCACATACAAAACGAAGGACCGAAAACTATTTTTTCCTGCTTGCCCTAGTTCCCATTAAAAAATATAAAAGAAATTGATATCTCTGGCACCCCTCAACTCAACATTGAAGCGGCACCAGCTTCGCCTGTGACGTCATTCGGAGTGGTGTTGGTTTCCGGTTGGGTTCTTCTGGCTTCCGTTTCCCCAGCGCACGCCGGCTCGCCAGGCTCGTCGCTCTCCCGCTCTCCCGCTGATCCCCGACCAACATGGCGGCATGGGCGGACGGCCTGAGCGACGTCGAGCGCGAGATGCTTGCGACGCGGCGGGCAGTCGAAGTCAAAGTCGAGACACCAGGAACAATAACGATACCACGATACTACGGACCACGACCAACGCACTCCGTCGAGCGAGGGAAAGACAAAACGTCCGGGTTGCTCGTGTAGCCGCCGTAGGCGCCACGGGCGTCGACGGATGACGGCGACTGCAGGTTTTGTTGACTTGCGGTAGATGGCGCCACAAATTATTCATACCCTTTTAGCGGCAATATTAGGCTTTTGAAGCGTTTCTGCATGCCTAAACAACAAGATTTTTTAAACTTAACCTTAAATCAAACTTACAATTGCCTAACACTATCACTTACAAAAAACACTCCGAATGACGTCACACCACAGGTTCCATTTGCGGCCACCATGTGGCCGCCGGTTGGGAAAAAAAGTGTTTTTATTTTACGATTACGCAGCGAAATAGAGGTATTTCGGGGTATGGTGGCACTTTTTCTCTTACTTATGCCGAAGTAAACAATATCAAAAATACAAGCTGCACATTCGTTCAGTGTTAAAATCATTGCACCGCCCCTTTAACGAGCCAAATCCAAACGCCAACAAGGAAACAATTGCAACTTCAATTAATAGTGCACTACTGAACCTTGCACCGTCCAAAACGAACCAAAACATAGTACAAAGCATAGGCGTAGACTTCGGGGGGTGGGGCATCGGTGCTCGTGCTTTTCCATGTAAAATCCGGGGGGGGGGGGGGGGGGGGGAAGCAGAGCCTCCTCCCCCCCCCCCCCCCACCCGGGCACGGGCCATGATCCCTACCGCGACGCTGTTTACGCGCCATATAACGAGCTTCTAGTAGTGGCATGTAAACAAAATAACGCCCACGTTGCCTTTATTGACAAAATACATGGGAAATAGAATCCCAGTTGCTTTCCTTAGCTTCATTGTCTAGTTCTGGCGAAAAGGTAACGCTCAGCACCCCCCCCCCCCCCCTCCCCCCGGGGAAAATGGAAAGTCTACGCCGCTGGTCCACAGAACATCAAGAACCGTCGCTGCATGTCAGTCAAAGTGGATACGACTTCTCTAAAAACAAAAAAACTCACTGCAAACTAGAAAGGCTGAGGAAGGATTATTTTTAGATGCAGTAGAAACATTTTTCTTCCAGGATGAACCGAGCAAAACTGAGACGGTTTTTCGGAACGGCTTCTACTACGCGGGCGACAAGGCCTACAAGGACAATGATGGCTACCTCTGGTTCTACGCTCGGGCAGACGACGTCATAATCTCTGCAGGGTATGCTCCTTAATTTTCAGATCCACAAAAATTATTTAAGAAGAAAAAAGAAACAAAAAAAAAAAAGAAACTTTCTTTCCTTGACACTTTGCAATTAGTGTGTGCTCCGCACTTTAAGAAAATATATGCTAAGTGGTTACAAATGTTGCGTCATACTGAAATCATTGCTTACATAATGTAGATGTAAACATCTTCGGCAGAGATCTGTCTTGTTATGAAAAGACTGACAAAAATTTCCAAATCTAATCATATTTTTTATTATAAAAATATGGCAACCTTTACCTCCAAAGTTCTATAATGCTTAAAAATGCAGTATTAGAGAAGCAATCTTTAAAGGGGCGACGCAACAATATTAGCTTCGAAAATATTTCGCAGTTTTAAATTTTTGCGTTGTTTATCTTACCAAAAGGAATGAAGAAATCGCCTCATTTTTTTTTACTAGAAATATCGCCATTCCGTTGCGCAATGAACCATTTCCGAAATTCAGTACCACCTGGCGGCTGAAATGATTGTTCAACCTCTGCCGTATTAATGGCGGCAATGAACCTGTAGTAATATTTGGAGGTGGGCTAGTCGGGGGTGCATTGTAAACATGTAATTAAAATATCGGAAATTAACACAAGGACAAGTAGAAGAAGGGGCACAGACACAGCGGTGACTCACGACTTTTTCTCTTTTTCGTCTTTTAAAACAGATCAACATAGAAAGACAAAAAATAAAAAAATAAGAAAAATCCCACATGTAGGATATCTTCACTGGCATGTGCCATCCGAAAAATTGCTAACAGAAAGTACCATTGCAAAAAAACAAATGAAAACGGAAATAAATTAGTAGAGAAATATATAACTATATAGTGTTTTACCTCAGGTGTGAGCGAAGCCAAAACTACGACGCGAGCCATAATGCTCTGTGCGTATACCTGTCTCGCACCCGGCCTTGTGGTGTGTGGGCACCGTTTTAAGGCTGCATCTACGCGCTTGTAGCTATAGGATCGCTCCCACGGAAGTTGAAACAAAGTATTAAACAAACGTGCCCAGACTCCGAACAAACTCGAACTCTTCACTGGATAACGTATACCATGCTGTGAATATATGCATAGATCGGGACCGTGTTGCCGAATGTAAAATGCTTCATGAGTTTACCTAGCCATTTTTTGTGGATGTTTAGCCAAAATTTTAATGTCACCTAACCGAGGTCAACACCCACACCTATTGCAATAAACGGCTAGGTGACCCGAAGGTGAAGACCTCAAGGACAAAGAATGCTCCCGAGCTCTAACATTAATACATCTGCCCATCTGCCCAATATACAATTTACCACAGGAAAAGGGTATTTTATAAACGACCCCCACAGTCAAGCTACATATTTGATGCGATGGTTTATCCCACACCCTACACGTTGAAGTCCTGCTTTCTCAAGGGAAGCACACAAATGAGGTTACTTGAAAGGTGCTGAAAAGCCTATAGGGACTTCTATTTTACAGCCCCTTTTTTAATCCTGTGGAAGAAGCTGTGCAAATATGGTATTACGACCGGTCGAGGAGCAGGTTTTTGTCTAAAGTTGTCAAGTATATGCTAAGGGGATCCCTGAATAATTTTGAAAGTGACTACTCTACCCCAACTATGACAAGTTTCGGGAAACCCGCTTTTGTTAACCTATCGACTTGAACCAAAAGGCTGTTGAAACTTTGGTAAACACAGGATTTTATTAAAGAAGCTCTCAAACAGGATTTTGCAATACCTCTTTTTACAGCTTTTGAGAGCGTACATTCATAGATAAGGAGGGACTTTTTTGTTCTAGGCTCATGAGCCCAGCACAAGTGACTCGGCTCAAGACGAATGTTTAGGTCCAAAAATTGCAAAGCATTTTTTTTGGAACTTTATTCGTGAACAGCAGACATCCAGAGCACTCCCAAAAGGTCTCTAATAACTCTGAGACCAAGTCAGCACTTCTTGAGCCATGCTTAGGGTTAAGCACAACCAGGTAATCATCAACACATCTGAAGACTTTCAAAAAATTATCATCTAACGTGCTTTCTGCAATAGCACAATCACAACCTGCTAGGTAGATATCACTTAATATCGGAGCAACAATAGACCCAGTGCAGATTCCGGGTTTTTGCAGAAACGTGTTGCCCTCGAAAGCAATAAAAGTTGAATTTAAGTAAAAGCGTAGAAGATCCAAAAACTTTTACACTGAAATACCAGTCGAATTCTGGAAGACAGCAGAACCGTTTAAGTCAATGCAAAGTTGGACTGCTTGAATGAGACCCCCATGTTGAATAGAAGAGAAAAAGGTCTTCCACGTCAATCGAAACCAGATCAACAGTTCCAGGTTTGATAATAACCCTGATAAGATAATCAACCAATTCTTCAAAGTTCCGAATTAAAAAAAGGATCAGTTAACTTTAAAGACGATAGGTGATGCTGGAGATACTTCGAGACATGCAACTGCGATGACTCTCTCTGCGTAACCATCGCCCTGAACGGCATAGTGCCCTATGGGTCTTCGCCGAGAAGACAACCTCCAAATTGAGACCACGAGCCGCCTGGACAGGTATTTCGAATGGTATTTCAGTGGAAAAGCTTTTGGATCTTCTCCACTTTTACTTAAATTCAACATTTATTGCTTTCGAGGGCAAAGCGCTTCTGCCAAAATCCGGAATCTGCATTGGGTTTAGTGTTGCTCCGATATTAAATGATATCTACCTAGCAGGTTGTGATTGTGCTATTGCAGAAAGATTAGATTATCGTTTTTTGAAAGTCTTCAGATGTGTTGATGATTACCTGGTGGTACTTAACCCTAAGCAGAGCTTAAGAAGTGCTGACTTGATCTCAGAGTTATTGGAGACCTTTGGGGAGTGCTTTGGAGGTCTGCGGTGAACGAATAAGGTTCCAACTAAAAATGCGTTGCAATTTTTAGACCTAAACATTCGTCTTGAACCGAGTCACCTCTGCTGGGCTTATGAGCCTAAAACAAAAGGGTCTCTTCTTAGTTTTGAATATACACTTTTTTCAAAAGTTGTAAAAAGAGGTATTGCAAAATCGTGTTTGAGAGCTTCTTTATTGAAATCTTGTGTTCACAGAAGTTTCAACAGCTTTCTGGTTCAAGTCGATAGTTAAAAAAAAAAAACGGGTTTCCCGAAACCTCTCATAGGGGGGTAGCGGAGTCACTTTTAAAATTATTCAGGAATCCCCTTAGCGTACTTGACTACGTTAGACAAAAACCTGCTTCTCGGCCGGTGGTAATACCATATTTGCACAGCTTCTCCTAGAGGATTAAAAAAGTGGCTGTAAAATAGAAGTCCCTATAGACTTTTCAGCACCTTTAAAGTTCCCTCATTTGTGTGCTTCTATTGAGAGATCAGGACTTCAACGTGTAGGGTGTGAGATAAACCATTGCATCAAATATGTAGCTTGTGCTGTGGGGGTCGTTTATAAAATACCCTTCTCCTGTAGTAAACTGTATATCGGGCAGACGGGCATGTGTATTAATGTTAGAGCCAGGAAGCATTCTCTGTCTTTGAGGTTTTCACTTTCAAGTCACCTAGCCGTTCATTGCGATAGGTGTGGCTGTTCACCTCGGATAGTTGACATTGAAATTTTGGCTTAACATTCATAAAAAATGGCTAGGGAAGTCCATGAAGCATTTTACATTCGGCAACACGGTCCCGATCTGTGCGTAAGTTCAGAGTCAGTTACGTTATCCAGTGAAGAGTTCGAGTTTGTTCGGAGTTTCGGCACGTTTGTTTAATACTTTGTTTCTGCTTCCGTGGGAGCGATCCTACAGCTACAAGTGCGTACATGCAGCCTAAAGACAGTGCTCACACACCATGAGGCCGCGTGCGAGACAGGTACGCACAGAGCATTAGGGCTCGCGGTGTAGTTTTGGCTTCGCTCAGACCTGAGGTGGGCAATGTATAGTTATATATTCCTCTGTTATTTCATTTCCTTTTTTATTTGTTTTTTGCAATGGTACTTTCTGTTGGAAACTTTTCGGATGGCACATGACAATAAAGATATTCTACATGCGGGATTCTTCTTCTCTTTTTTTTTTTCTTTCTTTGTCTTCCTATGTTGATGTGTTTTATAAAGACGAAAAACAGAATAAGTCGTGAGTCAGCGCTGTGTCTGTGTTCCTTCTTCCACTTGTCTTCGTGTTCGTTTGCGCTGTTCCAATTATATGTTCACAATAAAGCTGTAGCCTGCAGTATTTTATCGGGCGTTGTCACTTTCTCGATCACCTCCTTCAGTGTCGATGGCCACAAAAATGCTACCAGTCAGAACGAAGCGCCAACCAAGATGGACGCCTTGATAAAGTTCTATCCGTCAAGGGGCTTTTAAGTCGATTCTGTGCTAATAACGTATTGACTGGGCCCAAGGTATAGAAATGAACGCTTACGCAGCTCTTGCATTCAATTCCTGCTTTGCATCGTACTAACGTCTCGAATGTATAGACCTTGAATCCTCAGCTTAGGAGTATCTTCAACATGTCCCTTCATCAATAAACAGAGGGCAACCATTAGTACGGCCCATATTCCATTTTTCAACTGATGATGACTGTGATCAAAGTTGCCAGACTGAATTTCGGAAAAGGTCTATAGCAAAGAAGAGGCCCGTAGACGGTCGTATGTTTATACGATTGCAGATTGAAGTTGATGATGATGATGATGCGGGAGCCAGACTTGACGTGTCGATTCGCAGTGAGATTGGCTTAAGGAAGGGTGGCATCTCTTCAAATATAAGCCGGTTTCATGTGTAGGTCCAGTCCAGCGATTGTGACGAGGGGGTTACGTTGCCGAAGACCAACTTGTGCTGGCCCGAAACGGAAGAGGCACCAAGATGCGGCAAGAGCTGCATAGACATCAGATGCGGGTTTAGAAACATCTTGTTGGCGGCCCTGCCGCTGCGCCCCGCTGCCTTGAAAAAAGTACTTTACCGTTGTCATGCCAGTTGCAATCAAAAGTAGAACTGAGTTGGTTATTAAGAATTAGACTTACTTTGCCAGTTATGTGAGGGTGGCAGTAAAGCGGTGTCACTCGTTGTGATGCAACTTGGCGCCAGCCTTCTTGGTCCTCACGTGTGTAGTTTAGTCTGCAATCATAGCGACAAAGCATGTTCTCTTTAAACTGTGTTATTCGACATTGGTTAAATACTTTCAGTCTCTTACGATAACAGGAGAAGCCGCCTTGCAGGTATCGAATCGGACCATTCGAAGTGGAAAGCGTCCTGGCCAAGCATCCAGCCGTCGCAGAGTGTGCCGTCGTCGGCAGTCCGGATCCAAACAGGGGAGAAGTTAGTTTTAGCAATCTTTTATTTTGTTTGTATCATTATGTAGTGTAATTAATATTACAATGATTTTGTGCAGATCAGTAGAATTAAGGCATAGGCTAAAAGAACACAAAAGGGACGTGACGAAGGCCACGCATGCGACAAGAGCGAAGACGGAACTCGTAGACCATTGTTGGAGCACGGGTCACAGTTTCGACTTTGAGAATGCGTCCACTCTGGCGCGTGAACAAAGGTGGGGTCCACGCTGGTTCGTGGAATCATGGTTCATCCGAAGTGACTCGTCGGCTTGCAACTCCAACCGCGGCCCCCTCCCCGATGTGTACGCGGACTTGCTTAAATAGGACTGTCGAAGTTTTTTCGCTCATTCCTGCTTGAAGGTTTCACTGATGATGTTTCCCGCATGGGAGACGAAACGTTTGATTAAATTGTTTATCTTGTTATGTAAAGTCGGCGCGTTATTTTTTTATCATTATGATTACCGGCTCTTGGAATATTTTTGGAGGCTGAGTACATTTCGGATATTTCTACCAGCCTCTTAATACTGGTTCAAGAACACATATGTAGGCCTTTGGCTATCTTTGACGCTGCGGAAATGGACCCAACATACTTTAAAGGAATCACAAAAATAAATTAATTGGAAGTGTGCACACGAATGGTTCATAATCCGGGTGGGACCATGGATGAAAAAACTTACCCCATTCAGAAAGTAGAACCATAGTCCACCTTCTGAATTAGACCGCCCCCCCCCCCTCCCCCAATCTCCCAACAAAAAAATATTCTACAGTGAAAATTTTTTTTTGTCGTAATCCAGGAAGTGGACTATGGGTCGCTGTAGTCCTTGGTTTGATAAGAATAAAGGAAGGGAAGCCAGCTAGGCGATCAGTATGGCTTTTGATTTTCTCATTTTAATATTCTTCCTCGACATTTCTCGTTTGATCCTTACACTGGATCGCATTATCCGTCGAATTCTGAATGAAAGGGAATGTCCGGTCTAAACCGGAAGTACTTAAGTCTTTGCGCTCGTTATGTCTAGGGAGCCTTCATATAGAAGAATGTTATTTTTATTTTGATATATAATGCCCGGATATTAATTAAACTAGTCCTGAGCGTGTGCACGAAACTTTACCCCGAATTTCGCCAGTGTCAATGTTACGCGTGACGTAACATCAGCCAAGGGATCGTCGGCTATGCAGGTACTTCGTGCATGCGGGGGTTACAATATGTTCTTCGATGAGTTGTTTCTTCTTATTCTCTATTTTAGGTTGTTCTCGGTTCGATTGCGTCAGAAACATAGACAGCCTCGGGAATCTTCTTCGCAAAGGTGTGGTAACTCGTTGCAAAGAATGATATATGTCAATTCGAGGAATGCACAAAGGTGTGGTAACTCTTTGCAAAGAATGATACTTCAATCACAGAAACGCATGGATAGTTGTTCCAGGCTCACGGCCGTCTTGGAATGATATACCAATAAAAGTCGCGTTTTGCTTGTTGTCGGGATTTTTTTTTTTTTTTTTTGTAAAAAAAAATAAGACAAAAATAAATTGCGGTTTTTATTGAGATAACATTTCAAGACGGCCGTGAGCTTGGAGCAACTATCCGTGCGTTCCTCGGATTCACATATCATTATTTGGAAAGAGTTACCACACCTTTGTGAAGAGGAATTCCCGAGGCTGGTCTAGGTTTCTGAGGGTATCTGTAACCGAGCATTGCCATGAATAGTAAATATAATTCGTAATTCCAAGACATTATATGTCTGGCAGTCTCAACGCTGCAGCAAGTGTTCAGGAGAAATTCTGTGACTATGTCGTGGAACATGTGGCCTCCGGACGTGCGTGTACCCGCCTTTTATTATTTTTGGTTTCTGAAACATGGTTTGAGAACCGGTAACCTCCAGGGGAACCTCATTTTTGCAAAGTACACGTTATTGACGCGGCACTTGTGTGATGTCCACCGTCGCACCAACCCACTGCATCGTTTACACGGTGATGTCGCTGATTGACTCTGGATTGAGGAGGGTGACTTCTTGGCTTGTAGCTTTTGGGCAATGTTCACCGATTAACACTTTTACTTTTCTTAGGAACTGAAACTTTCAAAACGTTACAATGGGAAGTGCTCTCCAGGTCTCCGGAGAGCACTTCCCTTACTGTCCTTTGGAAGATGAAAATAATCGTTCCACGAGCCAGTCCTGAAAGAAACTTTGTCTGTACATATTCACGAGGTTGGAGGACTTCATATTTTAGTTGTAAAGTTAGACAGGATAGTGATCCTAAAATGTTCAGCTCAAATGTGCAATGTTCCAGCCCTGATGTGTTCTATCAAAAACAAAAGTGTTGAAACTTAACAAATATGGGGCTCCCTGCTGGATGGTTCCCAAGACGTCTGAAATGTGGGATAACTATAAACACCTAGTTGTTATAGGAACATCAGAACGCTTTAAAAAAGTAAGAAATATAAAAAAAGGACACCAATCCATGGAGAATATAAATTTCAGAAAACCATGTCAGCCAGGCAGGGGTCATGATCCTTCAAGCGCATTGGCGGGTAAATAAACGCACGAGATGCTCGAAAAATATTTTCTTCGCCGCTTGCTTACTAGCAGGCGTACTTGGACGCCATATAAATTAGTGTTGAGGACAAAGCTGCAGTCCACGAGATCAATCACAGGGATTGGAGTCATTACTGTGGGAGACAGAGGATTAAAAAAAATGCTCTACTGTCAACGTAGACATTTGAAGGCAATGTCTTGCGAGATCATGAGGAATTGAGCGTAGAGCAATAATTACACGGAAAAAAAAACAAAAAAAAAAAAACAATGTCTATGCGGCGCAACCGAAACTGAAACCATTTTGCATACGAATAGCATTAAATATGAGCTGTATCGTGAATTTAGGCGTTTAGACCTTTTAAATGTATTGCAAGATCGTGAAATATTGATGCTAGAGGAACAGCTGCATTTTCAATATATATTTATGCGGCGGAACCGAAACCAATCTGGAGCTTGACGGGTCGCGGCCACATTCGCACGCGGATAGCTCGATTCTATTTCGCACGGCGACAAGACATCATTTGTCTGCAGTCCGAGGGTTGTTTCAACCAACTGCACAACAGAAGTCCCCTTAAATTCACGATGATCTAGTCTAACAGAGCAACAAGGTTAAAAGAATAAAAAACGAAGAGCTTTTCAGTACAGCAGTCGGGAGGCACTCCAACGCAGCTCTTTACCTGATGTTACGTCAGAGCTTCGGCGGTTGCCGATGTTGCCGACAAAAATGCCGTTTTTTGAGGACGCGCTTTGGGAAAAGTTTAAAATCCAATTGTCCCCGTAAGTGATGACGTCACAACATGGCGTCTGGATCCAAACAAACCGTTGCTAGGGACGTTGCTATGGGCTAGTGCACGGAGACTCCACATGAGGCTAGATCTTTGCTTAAGTAAGTAAATAATTTTTTGTAAGCAACCTAACTTCTTAATATCCAATAATGAAGATGTTCTTGTCGTTTCAGTGTCGTATTTCAACAATGAAAGCCATTTCTGAAGTATTACACTCCGCTTTGCTTTGGTAGCAGACGACACGATAGATTTGCTGGCCTCTGTTGCAGCGGGCGTCTTCATTGAAATGGGTCGGTAAACAAGCGACAAAAACAAGTGGATTGCCGTGGCCGTAGAGGCCTCCGTAATGTGCGTTTTTTTCTGTGAAGAACCTAGCTTAGTTCAGGAGGTGAACATGCCGTAAAATCAAGCCACGTCATGCAGGTCATTTACGACGACGAACTGAAGTGCATTACCGGCGTAGTGCAGGCCAGTATGAGGAACAAATCGTACGCCGTCAAGGTAATTCGTTTATTATTATTATTATTATTATTATTAACGAGGTTGTCAGGTTATTAAAAATATTGCATGTCTATCGCGATTTTTCAGTAACCATTGCAGCGATGCAATGGTTACTAGATACGACGCACCCTCCCATAGCGCGAGTCCCCAAACAAAATTTGGGATCTCGACCGATCGCCTGAAGTGCTTTTCTCGGGGGTTCAATGCAATCTTTTAGCAGACGATCATCTCGATCGAAGCCCGGACTTTCGATAAACCATATTTTGCATTTCACCCCACTATGAATTATTTTAAGTTGCTGAAAATCATTATATTTCAAACAAATGCAATGTTAGAATATCGTCCTTATTCACACGATTCAAACGACGGCGCCGGCTTGGCCGGCCGGCGTGTGGCAGACGGCATAGTTCTTGCATTCGTCGTCTGCTGCAGGCATCTTGATGACCGGAAGTTGCAGTCGTAAATATTTCAGAAACAAGCGATTACCGGCACACTTCTGTCGAAACATATATGACATTCAAGCTTTCTATATTTGTGATCTTTAGAGGTTTTAATCCTACTCCTGATTTTTGAACGGTTGGGTTTTTGTAGCGAAACCTAGCCAAATGTAGTATTTGTCCATAACAACGACCCTAGGAACGGTTTGTTTGTTTCCCTGACGTCACAACTACGGAGTCAATTTCTCGCGTGGAGGAAGATGAAAAATTTAGATATTGCGCAGAGGGTGTTCCTAAACACAGTTAAAACAAGATTTATTCATTTTCTTGAAGACAAGAGTTAACCGGGCAATGCCTTTAAGAGCTTGCTGCTATAAAATGGCGGACGCGTTGATGTACACTGAACGTTGTTAGAACTACCATTTCGTGGCATTTAAGCAAATCGCATGCCAGTATTTGGTTGTTTGACGACCAGGTTACCCATATTGTTTGTCACTTTCAGGTGGTGAAAGCGTTTGTAGTGCTCCAAGCGAGTCATAGAAACATTGAGGACCTGGACGGACTTGCCGTGGAACTGCAGGAATTCGTTAAGAAGAACACGGCGCCTTACAAGTACCCCCGAAAGGTAATCTAGGGTACCTGACAGTGCGTGTCGGATGGGAGAATCCTTTCGCTTGCAGAGATAGATTGGTACTGACAAATGGTGCAATCTAACTAACAGACACAAGGCTTATTTTATGTGAATAAGGAACCACCAATGTATTGAGCACAATTGCACTTTCTCAGCTTGTTCGTTCTATGTTGTCCTTGTCTGACAGATAGCCACCAACAATGTTTAATTTTAGACTTGCCATTATTAGCAATAGTGACGCCTCAATCAAAACGACAGCACACGCACAAACAAAAAATTAGGGTGGCGACGAACCGGGAACACTAATCATTCTAAGGAATTTGTCAACCCGAAAAAGGTTGGGGTTTATCAGGGAACCAACTACGTCGTGGAGTATAAAAAAAAATTGTAAGAAAAAAATAATTAGCAGTACTTTGGTTGTACTTGACAAAATTACCATATAAGGAATATATCTGTTGGAGTCAGAGAAACCTCGGTCTCAATGCTCGTGCAAGGACATCCAACAAGTGTGCCATTGGTTGTCTCTGCAATTACGTGATTCCTTTCGCCAGTCAATGCGAGCGAGGTGCTACCGCCGAGGAAGCAATGCTGCCACGGCTACACTATTGCAATGGCCCCCAAAGTTTGAGATGTTATTAGTCAATGAAATCTACAACATTTGGCAGGCCAGACATTGCGAATGTTGTGCGTGGCCCTATTTTGTAACACTGGAAATTTCTTAAGTCCTCCCCTATAACGTATTCCATGATAAAAATTCAACTTTTATATTACACTCTTTTCATCACAAGTACAAGAAGAAGACTTGAACACAATATTTCGTTGGGGTGGTATAGTTCTATCAATAACTCGAAGTCAATAGAAAGTATCCATGGACGCTTCATGCTCTTTTTGAACACGGTTTGCAGTGTTACGCCACTCTCCCCGATTTTCAAACGGCTTCGTGCCTTTCGTGCTTCCAAATCGGCGGCAGAAAACCTTGACGGAAAGTTGTGTAGTTTGGGAACGACTACCGGCGAACGCTTTGCAAACGCCCATGTCGGCCATTTTGACTCAACATCCTTCGCGCGACGCGATTACGCAGGTGGAATTCGTCGGAGAGCTGCCGAAGACCATCAGCGGCAAAGTTTTGCGCACATCGCTGAGGGAAAGAGAAAATCCAACCAAGGGTGCCTAAAGCTATAGTCCCCCTCCCCCAAGTGGATTAAACGTTGGCATCGGATCTTCGAGCTATCGTTCCGGCCTCGCATGTTATTGTTGGTTACCTGGAGCATGCTCCATAGTCACAGACGGGATGACAATGGCACAGAGGAGTTTTAGTTGTCCTACCTCGAGCGCACGCTTCCTGTTTGATGACACTTAGGTGTTACGTTAGCCCAGTGGCGGATCCAAAGGGGGGGGGCGGTGGGGGCGATCGCCCTCCCCCCCCCCCCCCCCAAACGCCTCGCCAGGCAACCTCCCCACCCCCGGGGTTCTTCGTTAGCTCGAAGAAAAAAAGTGGAAGCCGTTTACAACTCCCTGTAACGCCGAATTAGAGCGCAGCTCTTGAGGAGGAGGAGGGAAGGGTACTGGGGGGGTCAAGTGACCTTGAGTGGGGGTCACGTGACCTAGGGGGTCACGTGACGATGACGATGCCGATGACGTCATTAGTAACGATGACGATGCTGATACCGATGACGTCATCAGTGACGTCACTGATGACGTCATCAGTGATGATGACGATGCGGATGCCGGTGACGTCATCAGTGACGTCACTGATGACATCATCAGCGATGATGACGATGACGATGCGGATGGTGATGATGACGATGCGGATGCCGGTGACGTCATCAGTGACGTCACTGATGACGTCATCAGTGGTGATGACAATGACGATGCGGATGCCGGTGACGTCATCAGTGATGATGACGATGACGATGCTGATGCCGGTAACGTCATCAGTGACGTCACTGATGACGTCACTGATGACGTCATCAGTGATAATGACGATGACGATGCGGATGCCGTTGACGTCATCAGTGACGTCACTGATGACGTCATCAGTGATGATGACGCTTGCGATGCGGATGCCGGTGACGTCATCAGTGACGTCACTGATGACGTCATCGGGGGTCACGTGACCCCGGGGGTCACGTGACTTGGGGAGCCACGTGACTTTACCCTTGTGGAGAGGTCACGTGACCTTGGGGTCACGTGACCTTGGGATGACCTTGGGGGGCAAGTGACCTTGGTATGACCTTGGTTACGCCGACGGCGACGGCGACGCCGCTCAAGCCGGGAACGGGCCCCTAAGAGCTGCGCTCTAAAAACGTAAGGAATCGACGCGAGAAACAAAAGATTAAAACAGCGGTGGGTGGACGCGCGCGCTTCCAAAGTGGGGTTTATCTCCGTCAAGGTCACGGTACGTCTTCCCGACAGGGACGGCGCCAGGAGTTTCGAAGTGGAGAGACAGTGGGGAGGCGCACCAAATATCAGGGTCCTCGACTGCAGGCACACTTCCAAACAAGGCCAGCACGTCGAGCACGGGGAGAAAATACCTTCAACATATCTAGACCCCTTTCTCTCTCTCTCTGTCTCCCTTTCTCTCTTTGGGGGCTGTCTGCGAAAAAATTGTGCCCTGAAAGCTCCCAAACGCAGACGTCAAGCAGCCTTCCTCAAGGGTAGCGGATTATCCTTCCTCTCTAGCGGCCGCCTTTTCATCACTTTTCGTTTGATGGTTTCTTCCTGGTTCTGGGCTTGTCTTTTGGCACGTCTTTTTTGGCTTGCTTTGAGATGCTGTCGCCCACGGGCTCACTAAAGGTATCTTATTGGCACTATGTGCTCATTGCCAAGGGAAGTGCGGAGGGGACGTACCGGGAGGAGACGTTCCAGGAGGGGGGGGGGGGGGGGGATGCAGCTTGTACAACCAGGAGACCAATTGCTTTTCTTCTCAACTGAGAGAGGAAGCAAATGCTCTGGGTACAGTGTAGTCTGGGTCTGAGCTTCTCCTAAAGACGCTCCGCACTTCCCCACGACCTTGGCTTAAACATAAGCCCACTTTCGCCCTCGCCTCTATCCCTCACTGAGGATCAGCGCCGCTGCGCGGAATACAGAAAGAAGCCGACGAGCGCCAGAAGGGGGAGATGTTTCCCCTAATGGGCTTCATACTGCCTGCGGTACGACTTCTCGTGGCGGGAAGCTAATAAAAGAAAGATAAACGGTACGAGCACTCTAAAGGCTGGAGGCTGCTTACACGGGGTCCTCAAGCCGACGCCGTAGGCATTTATTTGTATACAATGCCGTTTCAACTTAGGGTGGCGGGACATATCTTAGGAAAGGCGCCCGCTACCCCTTGTCTCCCCTTGGCGCCGTCTTTTCCAGTTCAACGCGGCTTCTGTGAATTGACGGCAGAGCTTTCGCGCGGCTTTGCAGGAACGAATATGTGTGTGTCGAACGGACTTGGGGAAAACAAGGCCCTTTCAAAGATGCGGCTATACATAAATTAAATAGACAGTGTCTGTGCCCGTTCGAGTGAACACCGACTCCAGTCGTGATCGGCCTTTAGCCCATTTGAGATTCGCCGACCTTGCAACCGCTCTGCCCCATCATATCTCTGCACCTGTCCTCTCGACCCTGACGAATGAGCTAACTACCCAGAAACAAGTAAGTGTTCCTTTGATACAGAAAATATCCAGACGAAGTGCAATTGAATATAATTTGGAAGGATCCCTTGCTGGTTTAAGGTCTTGTCTAAGTTCAAAAGTTATAGTTGACGAACTGCAACATGCTTTCAAAAATATTCAACAATTATTCGCTTTCGTTCTCTCGAGTTGCATCCAGAACACGTGAAAACACGAGTTTGGGTTTGCAATGCCGCATGTGCTGCGCTCTGGACATTCCAAGTATACGGCGAACAACCGACGAACTTGCCTGGCAGCGTTCGTTTCGCTCGCTGCGTCAACAGTGTTTTGACGCCGCGAGCAGCGTCGAAGCCGCCGGGCCATTTTTGTCGCTTGTTTGCAACATACTCGCTCCGCTGATTTAAGCCGCTCTTCCCGTTGCCGCAGCAGTTGAGCACTAGCTCCAACCAGAATGTCTGCCAAGGCAATGTCTTTAAGCTGCCCTAAATCGACTGCTCACGTAATGTCGGTCTGAAACCCAAGTTTCAGAAAGGATAGTGTCACCACAATTTTTGAGATACTTACCTCTAGCGTGGTCACCCGAAAGGTTTTAATTCAAAGATTTTTAATTCAAAGATTTAGTTCAAAGAAAAAGTTTTAATTCAAAGACCCCGACAGGTAAACCGATACAAAAGCTCTCAAGATCTATATTATGTTATCAGAGTTTAGTAAAAACGATAACTCCACAAAAAATATAAACACCCCCCCCCCCCCCCCCCCCCCCCGCCGTTTTACACCGAGGAACCGCCCGCCCCTAAAATGGAGGTCTGGATCCGCCCCTGCGTTAGCCTCCAGCATGCTGGCGCAGCCAGAGCTATTTATTCTAAGGGCTCATTCACACTGGAAGCAGATCCGCGTTCGCAAAGCGGTTGCGAACGCGGTTGTATAAGGATTCAGTACAATTGCACGCGCACACGATGACATCAAATGCGCGTGCAATTGCACTGGATCTTTATACAACCGCTTTCGCAACCGCTTCGCGAACGCGGATCCGCTTCCAGTGTGAATGGGGGGTAAGAGAGTTCGGCGGATGGGTGGAGCTTGTGACCCACTGAATCTAGCTAGAACTAGCCGACCTTGCGATTATGCAAGATGGATGTGGTTTTTCGTTTCGCCACTTCCCTCTGAGTAAGCCCCCTCAAATTCGCGGTTACAAGTAGCCTTATGAAAACATTTCTCGTTCATCGGTATTCTGTTCCACCTCTAATTGATCATTCCATCCGAAGACCGCGCACCTTTTATCGATCTCCAATAACAAAACTTACAAATAAGCATTTTTTTGTTTGTTTTCGGACAAAAAACATGCTGAACAAAAGTTCGGCCATTTAGAGCACGGGTTTGCAGTTCCTGCGTCGCGAACACTTTTCGCGGTGTTGGATTGTGGCGGTGGTGAGAATGCAGAAAGTTAAATTTCTAGACGACAGAAGGGAATGAGAGCCGGTAATATTCTTAGAGATCGCTGCAGATAAGGAACTGTGAGCAATAGACCGATCTCAGAGCCAGTTTTATTATATATACGCCACCGCTGCCGCCATGCATCGTGGGACGCGCGACAACCCCGCTAAAGGCCTGCGCGAGCAGAGCACGAGGCGGCACGAGCTGCCTCGTGAACTGGCGCCTGCCTCATATGGACTACAGTGATGGCGACGTTACGCATGCGTGACACACCCTTAGCGAGATCGGTCTATTGATTCCGTGGAAAGTGCCAAATGTGCTTACTTTAAAGAGAGAACCTTTTGGTGCGATGACACATTAGTGCAGACGTGGGGTGGCTAATCCAAGGTGGGTCATGAATTAGTAACACAATAGGAGGCTCCACTCAAACTGAAGGGCCCCTCCATTTCCTCGAGGAAGGCGCGAGGACAGGCGCTGGCCAATCGCGAGGACGGATCCGCCGTCGCGATTGGCCAGCGCCGGCCCTCGCGCCTTCCTCGAGGAAGTGGAGGGGCCCTTCAGTTTGAGTGTAGTTTGAGTGAGGTTTCTGAATTCGGCGTAGGACGGGGAAAGCATTTGGTTGCCAGATCTCTGGTCGTGGTTGCTAGGCTGTCCGCATGTTCGAAAGAATGCCCAAGTCTCCAGAATAAACGGCTCTGCGCGCAGTCAAATTATGGACGAAGGGAATGAGTACGTGCTGGAAATTGGGCTCCGTGAGACTCCTGCTGTTCTTACCTTCTCAGTGACTACGACTTAGTAAAACATTCTTAATGTAAGGGGCGTTCCTTAAAAAAAAAGAACTGCGTTTTTTTTTTGTCCGAGTATATAAATTACGCATTGCAGAAAGTTAAAACTCCATGGGAGTGTGACACCAGCGGTTGGGATGGAACGCGAAATGTTTGAGAACATGATGTTACCCCGATCAAAAGATAATTGAGAAGGACGAAATTTCCCTATGGGAGCCGTCGCTCACCTAAGCTTAATTTCGTCGAAACAAGAAATGAGATTGTGGGTACATATGTAGTATCTAGGAAAAAAAACGATTACAATTTTAGAGCGCAGCTCTTAGGGGCCCGTTTCCGGCTTGAGCGGCGTCGGCGTCGCCGTCGGCGTCGGCGTCGGCGTAACCGCGCGGTGCATCA